CTGAGGCAGCTGGTGGAGGCCGACATCAACAGCCTCCGCAGGATCCTGGACGAGCTGACCCTGTGCAAGTCCGACCTGGAGGCCCAGGTGGAGTCCCTGAGAGAAGAGCTGTTGTGCCTCAAGAAGAACCATGAGGAGGTGAGAAGGAAAGAAAACTAACTAACTAACTAACTAACTAACTAACTAACTAACTAACTAACTAACTAACTAACTAACTAACTAACTAACTTCGGAGCTAAGCTATTAGCACTAGGAGCCAGGCAGCAATACCTGACCCTGACAGGCTCCCCAGCCTGAGACCCTTCTCCAAAGAACTCAAGTTTGACTCAGAATCACACTATGTCCACATCAGAGTGTGACACAAGCTGTTAATTCTTACAAAATTGGCTCAGTTGGGCAGGTGCTGGAGATTGTGAGAAAAAAAACCCACTATCAACTCTACTCTCCACTTATCCTTAATTTAATGGTGACTATGGAGAGGGAAACGGCTCTCTCTCTTCAAAGAGTCCACAGTGTGATGTGGAGAGCTAGCCATGCACACGGCAGAGCGAAGTGTCATAAGATCAAGAAGCAACATGCTCTGGAAATAATTTAGTTGGCCTGAAAGGAGACAAGAAATGCTCCTCGGAGCCAGGCTTGCAGCAGGAGGAAAGTTTTCTATGTGGGTGTTCCAGGGCCAGGGAAAAGGATATGTGAGTGTTCCAGGCCAAGGGAAGAGCCTGAAGAGAGTTCTAGAAGTCGAAGATCAGGGTGTATTGGGGTATGGCCCTTGAGTCAGTGTGGGTGGGAAATGAGGAAGGAGCTACACAGAGTTAGAACGTAATTGTATAGGAACTGTTAAATGAGTCTAGTTTGGTCAGAAAGGAACTGATGTGATGCCAATTTGAGTTCATGCCAATACAACGTATATGTCAATCTTTGGGAATGATCATATGTTTCTTTTAGTATTTTCTCAGTAGGGTTGGGCTTACTCTCCTGTGGTGGGAGGGTAGCAGGTCCTTTTGTGTGGGTTCATTTCTTCTCTTGCTCCATCAGGAAGTCAACTCCCTCAGAAGCCAGATTGGAGACCGCCTCAACGTGGAAGTGGACGCTGCACCCACTGTGGACCTGAACCGTGTGCTGAACGAGACCAGGTGCCAGTATGAGGCCGTGGTGGAGACCAACCGTAGGGACGTGGAGGAATGGTACAACAAACAGGTGGGCATCTATGCACATGATACCTCTGTACTCAAGACCTCCAACGGTCCTGACTGGGGACTGATCCCTATCTTCTCCCCTCTGGATGTTTCAGTCTGAGGAGCTGAACAAGCAGGTGGTGTCCAGCTCAGAGCAGCTTCAGACCTGCCAAGCAGAGATCATCGAGCTGA